CTTGGCTGTAGGTCGTGAATTCCGATATAAGGTGACGATTTGGAAGTAGACCGATGTACAATCATTGGATAGTATTGCGAAACTGGTGTATCATGTGTGTTCACAAGCCCTGATGAAATCACGTTCGCGTTCGCAACAACCAACTGGAGATTTCAAGGGTTGGTTATACAAGAAGAATATGCATTTTTTGGTTTGAGTACTTTGGACCTTTGGCCACTGCGATTGGTCCATCCATCTGAAATGCTTCTTGATTGGATGGTTTTGACCAATGGTAATGCAGGTGGACAGCAACATCACCTTCTTGACTGCCATCACCAAAACTGTCGTCAACAATGATGGGGTTGTCCAGTCGAGTCGCCCTGGTGGCCGCAGCATTTACGCATGCCATAAAGCCGACGACTCGACCACCGAATCCACACCTCGTCACTTCAATGCCACACTACAGCGACTCGCGGGCGATTAACTTTGATCACTACGCGGGTCACATTCGCTTGCCGAGCAATGGCCAAAAGATGTTTTACTGGCTCGTCGAGTCGGAATCGAACCCGTTGACCGACCCGTTGGTGTTGTGGCTCAATGGTGGACCAGGTTGCTCGTCGCTCGGTGGGTTCTTCAACGAGTTGGGCCCGTTTGTCGTCGAAAGCGATCTGAGTGTGAAGCGCAACCCGTACGCGTGGAACCGCAAGGCGAACGTGGTGTTTCTCGACTCGCCGGCCGGCGTCGGCTTCAGCCAACCGTTGCTGGATGCCTCGAAGTACAACGACGAGTTCACGGCCAGTCGTATTCACGAATTCCTGGAGGAGTTCTTGGCCATGTACCCAACATATTCCGACCGACCGCTCTACATCACGGGCGAGAGCTACGCTGGCATGTACATCCCGTATTTGGTGCAAAAATTAGTGGAGTTGCCGATCCCGCATCTGAAATTGACCGGGTACGCGATCGGCAATCCGTTTACAGACACCATCATCGACGGTACAGCAGCCATTCCTCGATCTACTAGCCATGCCGCGCTTGCGAGCTCAATGGAAGTTGGTCTGTAGCGTCGGCGTACTTGGACTACTTCTACACACATGCGCTGATGTCGCTCAAGGCGTACGAGCTCGGTCGACGGGTGTGTGGAGCGACGGGCGTGTCTGGGTGTTTTTATGGTACGGCAAATCCACCGAGTTGCTGAGCAACGTTGCGTCGTGATGCTGTCGTTGCTCAGTACGTTTGTCTGATCTAGGCGGCAACGAGTGCCCAACCGAGTGCTTGGCGGTGTTGGTGGAAGCTGGCTTTGGCCAAGAGAGCATGCTCGACCCGTCCGACATTTTCGGCGACGTGTGCCTTGCGACTCAATCGGCCACCCTGACTACGTTCATGGCGCAACAAGCCACACGATATCGGCGCACGAGCGCCACGAAAAACATTCGGCCACTCACCCATCGCGGTGTCGTCGGCCCTTGTCAAATGCAATACACGACGAAATACTTGCAGCTATACGCGGTCCAACACGCACTGCACGTGTACGACGTGCACGTGAACTGGGCGCCGTGCAACGACCACGTCGCGGCTCGGTACACGCGGAGTCGGTCGTCGTTGCCAATGTACAAGTCGATCCTTCAATCGGGGCTGAAGGCGCTCATATACAGCGGCGACGCCGATGCGACGGTGCCTTTTCTTGGGACCGAGCGCTGGCTCTCGTCGGCTGGTGGCGACCTGGTCACGGCAGCGGCATCGTCACATGGCTCAAATCAAAGCCGCGGCCTCCAACTGCCCATCTTGGCCCCGTGGCAAGCCTGGTTTGGACCAGACAAGCAACTCGCGGGGTACTCGACGCGGTACACCAATGTCACGTTTACAACTGTCAAAGGGGCGGGGCACATGGTCCCAGCCACACGACCGCTCCACGCCCTGTTCATGATTGAGTGTTTCCTCCATGGCGACCACCAATGCGCCTCGTTCACGTACCCGAAGGACGCTTTGGAATACTTGAGCGGAGCCGATCCGAGCGTTGCAGTCGGGTCGGACGCTGATCGAAGCGGAGCTCTCATTCCATGGGCAATCACGGCCGTCGTCGTCGTGCTCGGGTCTGTGATTGGCCTTGTGTTTTGGGCCAAGAAGGAGCCTCCGCAGTACGTTGAGCTTAGCGTCGAGAAATCCACCGTGAGTTCGCGGTCGCTGTCGACCACCGGTCTGTATCGATAGAAATGTCAATGACGTCCAATGTGGTTTGTCGGGGGTTTCCGACGCAATGTGGCGAATGTGTTGGGACATCCATTGCAGCCGCCATGGTCCCGATTCGTTCGCCAGACGGCGCCAGCGACAAAACCCCGACGAAAACGCCAACGGATGTGCCATGCACTAGTCCACCCATGGCCAACGATTCCTCCAAATCAACCGACCTGCCATCCATCCCAGGAACACATCGGATCATGTCGAACCATGGTGCTTTCAAACCTCAATCAATCGTCCATGGACCACAAGACAAGCGAGGGCACGGCTTCATGCATCCCCATTCTCACGTGCGCGCCATCAAGTGAATCTCGATTGCATCGGGTTGGCTGGGTAGTTGCTGGCGCCTACACTTTGCTGAAGATTTGGCGGGGGGCCACCGCCTCACGACGGCTGTCTCGTAACACCCATGGAGTCCGTCTCCGAAGTTCAACTTGATGCGAAGGATCCGTCCCCCCACAAATATCAAGGTAAAACATGCATTCCCTCCCTCTCGACCACATGCATTCTTGGTTTCAAGAAAATGTTTCCAAAATCAAAGCAATTTTTATATTAAAACTAGAATTGGTTCACACGTGTGCTGCCTTCATTGAGGAATTTGGTATGACCCCTCTGGGCATTTAGTTTTAGTTTTACATGCTAGCCCGACCTCCACTGCCCTGGTCTCGCCCCATCCCGTCGAGTCGACTCAGTTGTCATTTTGCCTCGGTCGAAGCGTGATGGTGTCCATGACATTTGCCTGGAGCGCTATGAGCGTCGTTGTAGCGGTCGTGGCTGCGTCCAGCAGCCCACACAAGATCTCGTCGCTTCCTGGCTACAACGACGCCAAGCCCATCAATTTTGACCAGTATGCCGGCCACATGGCCCTGCCGAGCAATGGCCAAAAGATGTTTTACTGGCACGTCGAGTCGGAATCGAGTCCGTCGACCGATCCGTTGGTGCTGTGGCTCAACGGCGGCCCTGGCTGCTCGTCGTTGACTGGTTTCTTTGGCGAGTTGGGACCGTTTGTCGTCCAGAGCGACTTGAGTGTCAAGCGCAACCCGTATGCGTGGAACCGCAAGACGAACATGGTGTTTTTGGAATCGCCAGGCGGCGTCGGGTTCAGCCAGCGCGTGAACGAGACTCTGTACACAGACGACTACACCACGGCGCGAGCGTACGAGTTCCTCGAGCAATTCTTTGAGCTGTACCCGACCTACAAGAACCGGGACTTTTACGTGACGGGCGAAAGTTATGCCGGCATTTACGTGCCGTACTTGGTTCACAAACTGGTCAAGGACCCGATTGCGAACGTCAAGTTGACGGGTTTTGCAATTGGCAATGCATATACTGACAGTGCGTCGGATGGTGAGTGACGCATGACGACCGCGGCGTCGTGTGATGGGTTGTATGCTGCTGTAGCTGGCTCGTATATCGACTACTTCTACTCGCACGCGCTGATTTCGATTGAAAAGTACGAGGCTGCGGCGACGGTGTGCCCCGGCAACGCGATCTCGCAGTGCATGAGCGGTACGCGAGTGTAT